TCAGGCCTTGGAACAGGCTGCCCAGGGAAGTGGTGGAGTCACCATCCCTGGAAGTATTTAGAAGACGTGTAGATGAGGCGCTTAGAGACATGGTCTAGTGGGCATGGTGGTGTTGGGTTAACGGTTGGACTCGATGATCTTAGAGGTCTTTTCCAACCTTAATGATTCTATGATTCTATGATTAGCCTGAGCCCATTCTCATCTCAGCACAGCAGCTAAGGTCTGAAACTTTCCCCACAAACCCGAGATTAGTCTGTAATAAGGATCTGAGAACACTGGGTTCGCCTCAGCTCTCGGTGCGGCTTTTTCCCAGCCGCTCTGCTGCGCCTCAGTCTCCCCCTCGCAAAGCTCTGCACAAGCCAGGCAGAGCCATCGGCCATAAAACGAAGTGCAGGCAGAGCCATTCCGGTGACAATGCACTTTGAGGTATCCAAACCCCAAAAGAGCATCTGAATTTCTAAGGGCATGCTCCCAGTCCTGACAGCTTGGAGAAGCCCCGCTGGCAGGTGGTCTGCAGTCCCCTGCCACGGTGGGGTCAGCTGGGGACACCGGCAGAGACAGGCGGGGTAGCGACGGGATCCCTCACCATGGGGGACAGGGAGTGCTGGCAGGAGATGAGGAAGGTGAGCTGGACAGGAACATCCCCTAGACCACAGATCTCCATCAGCTGGAGGTTCATGTCCAGCCATCCCAGCTCACTGAACTCCGCAGCACACGGAGCTGTGGTTTCCAAACCTGCTCCAGCCCTGCAGCTCAGGATTACCACACGCTGTGCTACCCCCAAAGAACAAATGGTTCCATGACACTCACAAAACAGAAGGGTCTGTTTAAACCCTGGTGTGGTCTGGGGGTTCAGATGAGACAGCACATTTTGGAGGATCATCTATATCCTCACCCCAAAGGCTGGGGAGGTTCTTGGACTCTGTTCATGACATCACAGCCCTAAAGCCACCAGGCTTACTGGTGAAAATTCAGTGGAAGTCAGTGAGCACCCAAATGGTGGGAAGCTTCATCGACAGCCAGCGTGCCAGCAACAGGCCCCGGCATGGACTGCTCTAGGCGTGGCTCCTGAGTGATGAGCAGGTGAGCAGAAAGGCAATAACCACTGACTGTGAAAGAGAAGCATCTGTGCGTGGGAAATGAAGCAGTGTGCGCAGAGAGCTGTTAGCTGTTGGGGCTCACGCACTTCCTAGCTGTTTTTCCCGGACAGCCTGCTGTTTTGGTGTGCAAGATGCAACATCTCCAAATACCCACATTGACAGGGAATCAGGACAGTGCCTGCAGTGCTCTGCACTTCCACCTCCAACGGCAGCAGTGGGCTGGAGGGAGCCTCAGAAATCATCCACCTGGTCCTCTCACTGGGGCTGGACCCCTCAACCCTGCAGGCACATTCCCAGCCTTCTTGAAGGGCTCCGGTGGCCATAGCCCGTTTCCAGTTTGCTGCTCTAGGCAGTTGCAAGGCTTCCAGACCCCCACTGCATCTGCCTATTGAGAGCTTGTTTTCCTCACCCATTGTGAGTACTCTCAGCACAAAATCAGCTGCATCCCTGCCCCCCATCTCATCTCCCTTGCTGCAAGGAGACAAACCCTCTTCTGTCAACCTCCCCTCACCAGCACTGCTCCAAACCCTCTCTTCCTGGAGCTCTGGCCTGGCCTCTCTCTTTGCGAGACTTTGTGACTACATACTGCAGTGCGGTCCCACAGCCAGACACAATATCCATCATCATCACCCCCAAACTGTGTGCAGGGCTTTTTTTTTCATGCTGACCAGTCCCAGAACTGGGTTTGCTTCCTCTGCAACAGCACCACCTTGCTGGCTCATGGATCTGAGTCCTCTCAAGTCAATCCCTGATGCCTCCTCCAGATCTCAGGATTAAACAGTAGCTGGATGTCATCACTGGCACTTAAATTCATTTCAGATGTGGGAGAAGAGCATTTCCCAGCCTATCATGACCATATTTTGCACACACTGATTTAACCTGAAAAATTCTGATTTTGTTTTCAGGTCAACACAGGAAATTTTACCCAGAAAATTTTCTAAGAGGGTATTTAAAATGCAGCTGAAACAGAGCGCGGGCTGGAAGCCAGCTCAGAGCCAAAGCCAAAGCTCAGCAGTGGAGACAGAGTCGATAGCAGGGACAAGCACTAACCTGCCTTTGCTCAGCTGCGGTGAGACGCGTTAAGCATGGCCTTGCACATAAGCGCTAAAGTCTGATTCTAGGCTTGATACAAAAATTCAGCCTATGGTTTCGGCCAATTATCCGCAACCAAGAATTTTGGGACAAATACGGTTATTTGCACATTATGGACATAACTTTGCTCTATAAATACTAATTTTAATAGAAACTCTTTATTTTTGCTGTTTCTGCCCCCCAAACTGACTACTTCTAAAACACCGGTGTGAAGCAGAGCTCTGCAAAGCCTCAGCAGCCGTGAGCAAGACCACCACCACGACGGTCAGCACAGAGCATGGGAGGAGACACCTACCATAGTTTTCAGATGAGGACACGTACGTCAGAATAAGGAGGGCGAAGTTTTCAAGCAGGTTGAGCAGCAGGTTGAAGTGGCACAAGCGCAGGTAGCGAGGGTGCGAGCAGTGGCAGCTCTGATAGTGGTTCCAGTAGGCGACTGCCACCAGGAAGCGGGGTGCCGAGTGGAGGCCAATGCAGAGGCGCCAGACATAACGCTGGGGGGTCTCGCCTCCGATAGCGGCGCTGATGGAGGGGAGGTAGTTAGGGACCTGGAAGAGAGACAGCGGCTCATGGGGAGAGGCATAGGGAGTGTGCCATAGTGTCATATTTATAGCTCTCCCAGATGCTAAAACTGGTTTGGTTTTTTTTTTAATAAATCAGTTTATTCCTATTTCAAAAGCCAGGGAACATAACGTGGCAGCAACCCTGGTTCATCCCCCAGGACCATGCAGCTCCCAGCCCTGCCAGGACAGTCTCCTGGCACTGGGGTGCCCTGCTCAGGGTCTCACTTGGGTTTCTTAGCTTTATACTTTTGACCTTTACTCCTTCCCTTTACTCAGTCGTGGTCCCCCATGTGTTCTCTGCCCCGAAGTTTGGGGAGAGAGGAGAGGAGGGTGCACGGTTTTGTAGCCCAACCCTAATGGAGAGAACTGATAGCAACAGCAGGCAAAGACCGTGTTCAGGGAGGAACATAAAAGCAGAAAAACTATCAACGCAGCCCCGGAATAAACTCCCGACCTCAGAGTTTCACAGCTCGGGGACTTCCCGAGCCAGCCACGATTGCTATGCACAAGGTAATCCACTCTTCCATGATCCTGCTCGATTTCCCCTGAAGGCCACGCAGAACTGTGCACCCCCAGTGGCCCGTGGAGAGGCGTTCCCCAGATTGGCTACTCTCAAGGCATCCAAGGAGGAGCTGGTTCCTCATGCAGAAACTGCCACCTCCATACGACGTCCCCTACTTCTTATACTGGCAGAGGGGTGCAGTGGATCCCTGCCTGCCCTCTCCAGGCCAGCCACGACCTCAGAGGTCTCTGTCTTGCCTCTCCCTGCTCTCAGCCCATTGTCTCTTCCTGTGCGCAGCTGAAGAGCCCCACTTCACCACCCCAGGAACAGGAGCTGCGTGACCTCTGAGCATCCTTGCTGCCCTGCCTCATACACCCGAGTCACAAGGAGAGGACAGCACCACGTGCTGGGTGTGCACGTTACTTATTTCTCAAAATCAAATTGCCCCGGCATTTTGTGGCTCTGTCACCCCCCTCAGCAGCCTGCCTCGCCATCCCTGCTCCAGGATCTCGGCATCACCACCAGCCTGTGCCACCGCACTGCGTATGGGCACAAGGAACAACACAGACCCCATAAAGCCCTGGGGTCATCTCCTGCTGGTGTGAGAATGACCACCTACTCCTGCCCTCTGTCCCCAGCTTGTAACTAGCTGCTTATCCACACTTGTGCCATGGCTGCTTGAAAGCCCTGGGGAGGAATCTGAGCTTATTCCTTTTGGAAATCCAGGTGGTCCCTCCCCAGGCATGTGCTTGTGACTCCTCTGAAGAACTCCTGTAGATCTGAGGGGCAGCAATTCCTTTTATAAAAGCTGGGCTAACTTCCACAAGACAGTATATTTATCTGTAGCTTCACCAGTTCCATTCCTTATCACAGTCACCAGCAACGTGCTCAGTACAGACGTGAGCCTGACCAGTCTGTACTTCCCCAGGTCTCTTTTAAAAAGCCAAAACCTCAGTTGCCAGTCCCGAGGCATCATGAGTGTAATAAAGTGGCTTGTTCAGGATCCTATAACACATCCGGCATGAAAGCCCAGAAGAAGAGAGGATCCCTGCCACCCCACCAGCTGCTCCAGCTGAGCAGCCATGACCTTGGAGGACATTTTGCTGATGAGAGTCACTTACCCCGCAGTGGGTTGCTGTCGTCTCCTGGAAATGGAACAGCAGAGACCAGATCACACAGAAAAGGAAACCAAAGAGTGGGCAACACACAGTCCCAACGGCCAACGTGGTAAAACGGAGCCGGAAGAGGATCCCATCTCGATCCAGGGGCAGTGGTACCTGTAACATCTTGATGGACCTGAAAACAAACAAGCAAACGTTTGTCGGGGATTCTCTGTCCTCCTGCAAAGTCCAGCCCCAAATGGCCCTGCGCAGGGATGCACACATACGGCTGGCAGAGACAGCCTCTCACACCCGTGTTTAACAGCCGCACAACCCTAGGGCAGGCATCAAGGACAGGCAGCTGAAAGCACCGTTCTGGAGACGCAGGAAGCCCGAGACTCATGTACAACAGCGAGCAGGGTCAGAGCAGCGGCCCGCACGCAGTGGGGAAGAGCAGGCAGCGGGACGTGCGGGCAGCGGGACACAGATCATAGAATGGTTTGGGTTGGAAGGGACCTTAAAGATCATCTAGTTCCAACCCCTTGCCATGGGCAGGGACACCTTCCACTAGACCAGGTTGCTCAAAGCCCCATCCAACCTGGCCTTGAACATTTCCAGGGATG